GACTATTGACACAGTGAGGGGGGGTGACTAGTGACACAGTGTGGGGGTGACTAGTGACACAGTAAGGGGGTGACTAGTGACACAGTGAAGGGGGTGACTAGTGACACAGTGAGGGGTGGTGACTAATGACACAGTGAGGGAGGGTGACTAGTGCCTACCTTTCTCTCTGCTTAGTCTTCTCTCCCAGGCTGCTGCTCATTCCCGCTGATCGGACTCTATGTGAAAGGAGTAAACAGGAAGTGATGTCACTTCCCGGCCCCGCCTCTCCCATCACACAGAGCCGCATGGGACAGGAAGGAGACCTGGCAGAGAGAGCTGGTAAAGCTGACGAGTCTCATTTGAGGATGGGAGTTACTTTCAGAGTGGTAGGTTGTGGGGGTCCTGCGCTCCATCAGGGGCCCCACAACCTATCAATGAAATAGTATTATTTTATTATTTTTTGTTCCAGTTGGAGAGATCTCTGATCTCTCCAGCTGGAGCATAGTGTGGCCGGGCCCCTGGCTGTATCAGGCCCTCGGTCCATGACCGATGTACCCGAGTGGTTAGTCCGCCCCTGCTCCCTTGTGGTTCCCATAATTCCCAGCATGGACACATTATAGAGTAATCACTACTCTATGATGTGTAGATGCTCGGAATTGTGGAATCCTCGAGGGAGCATGGTAGTTAGCTCTGCCCCCTCCCTCAGTCCTCCTGTGCTGACAGCTGTACTGCTGTCAGTATGAGTGAGTGTGCAGCCAGACCGGCTAGGCGGCCGCACGGCCCACTCACTGATACTGACAGCAGTCATACACCATATGAGATGGGGCTGCCAGCCGCAAGGTAACCCCCATAGAGTGTACCACCGGACCGGCCACCCAGCGGCAGTTACATGCGGCCGGTGCACGTGATATTATTGAAAATGGCCACAGGACTCCCTCTCTATAGGTAGTTACAGTTGTGCAGCCCCCAGGTGCTGCGACCCACCGGGAAATTTTCCAGTATCGACATGGGCTAGTCTGGCCCTGGTCATGACAGATTCACTTTAATTGTGTAGCACTCTTTCATTGGAATACTGTACTGTTTCAAATAAGTTACTGAAATTGCTGAAACATAAATTATAACTGTTTTGAATTGCTTTTTTTTATACATTGCCAAAGTACAATCAATATGTGACCCTTGATTTCACAGCTCTATAGACATTTATGAACCACAAATATACAGAAAACAGAATAGCCAGTCCATGCTTCATAAAACAACAATAATAACAACGTATTTAAATTCCTCTTAAAAATTTGAATTAGTGTATGTTTTGCAAAGCGCTATATCAATTAGACTATTCTGCATAAACTATATGATTAGTATACATTGGGAACTGGATAGTAGAGACTATTTGAATAGTGTCACTTTTCTATGAATAAATGCAAAAATGCTGGTCTCTAGACTAAAAAAAATGAAAATAGGGAATTGTGAAAGTAGCATTTTACAATGAAGTGAGGGAAGAGACTGATTTATTAAAACAAGTGTGCAATATCGAAGAAATGCTTAAAATATTTAAATTGGTCATATAACTTAAAAATCCTAATTTAGCAAGAAAATGGATGTCGAAAATCTAAAACTGCTAATGATTTCCCAAGTTAGTTTAGGTATTTTTGGATTGTATGGAAATGTCTACATCATAACTCTATGTTTAACACGTCTGTGCAGAGTAAGAAGTCTGTCTCCAAAGGAAAAACTTGACATTAATCTTAGTGCTATTAATCTCTGTCTTGCGATCATCATACCCTCCTTCAGTTTATGGTTTCACTACTGTCCAAAAGACTACTTAACACCACGTGGTTTAGGATTCTTCTTGGAAAGTGTGAAGTTTTTAATTACTTTTAGCTTGTGGATGTCTACATGGTTTTGTGTTTATTGCAGCATTAAGATCATCAACAGCCAACAAAAGGTAGTCAAATGGCTAAAACATCAAATGCCTAAAATGGTTCCGTGGCTCATTGTAGGGTCACTGATTTTGGCAATGGTACAAAGTTTCGTTGATACAGACATTTGTCATTTTTCAAATATGACCATCTCTGGGGACGAAGAAAACATGACAAAATCTGGGAATGAAGAGAATGTAAAAAAAAATCAAGAGGTTCTCAAAAGCACATCATAAAATACTGAAGACTGAAGGTTGAGTGGTTTCTTAATGTCTCCTGAGATAGCTTAATATTCCTCTAGTACACACTTAACTGTTATGTATTTTTTATATTACATAATATGTTTAGGTTGGGGTTAATGTAAGTGTTAATGTAGTCACGAGTCACCAACTCCCTCCCTCTGTAGTTATTGGTTAGGGCACAGCAGAGGTTAATGTTTAGCGATAATATTAGTATAGTATAGCGTTTAATATTTAGAGATAGTGTAGTGTTCTAGAGTAGTATAAAGGTAGATGTTTAATACGGTAGTCTAAGAATAAAGGGGAGGACTTCATTGTAATGTGGAGCACTGGGTCATACACGGCCCAGTCAGGGGTGTTGGTAGGATCCAGACATATCTGGAATTTAAGCCCAATGGAAAACTTGATGAGCCCTAAAATATCAGAGAGATGGGGATAAGTCATGAGCTACCCCTGACTCTCAGTTATATCCTCTCATAGCCATTGTGCTGCTGATGCTCTCTAGGTTCTCAATGAAAGCATAGCCTTGTATTCAGGAGGATCCCACCACTTAAATAGTAGAGGAGTGTGCAGAAAAGTTTTATTCCCCAGCACCCCTTCCCACAGACACTTGGGGGACATCACCCACTCCCCTTACGTGGCCTGCTGGAGGTTATCCTACTGATCTTTCCTTTTAGAAGCAGCTGCTATATATAAAATTCAAAATAGAACAACACTAATATACTGTAGAGTTCCAGGGCTAAAGAGTCCAACTTCGTGGCTTCAGCCTTCAAAGGTAGCCCCTAACGCAATTGTCAATTTTACAGCACTGGGACGGCGCATGTGTTCTGTATGTGTCAACACTCCCTTTGTGTCAAAACCACTATTCTGAGTGAAGAACTTTCCAAAAGACAGGCAGTGCTTAGGGGATACTTTATACCTGCACATGTTTGTAGAGGAGGTGAATATCCTTAAAAAAACAGACGAGCTCCATTAAATAATTTTACATTTTTACATTTTGGGGGGGGGTAAATAGTCTTTTAATTAATTTGATTTTGCTTAAGTTTTAAACCTGACAGATTCCCTTTAATCTCAACAGGCTACAGGTCTTTTCCATAATATTGCTGTTGATTGAGCGGAACTGAAACTTACCAGTATTTACAATATTTTCTTTACTTAAATGACCAGTAAATGCACTCATGGTGCCAGATCTCACTGACCCTGCGCTCCATGTAGGCAGGATCCATAGGCTGCCCAGGCCTAAGCACTTACCAGCTAATGTCCCAAGAGACATTATAACTAAAATACATCACTATACTACAAAATAAATGATCACGAGAGCATCAAGAACCACACCATTGATTCCAGACAAGTTCAAAGGCATCCAACTGTATGCAGACTTATCCTATGCTACACTTACCAAATGTAAGGCTTTTGGGCATATCACCAGCGCCACATGTAAAGTGGGTCTGATATATAAATGGGGCATAGAAAAGCTTATCCTCACCCCAGAAGATGGAGACAAATTACTGAAAGAATGGTGCATCCCGGTGAAATCACGAGGCGACACTGCTGATCTGCAAGTTTCAGCAAAATCAGCCATCTGCCCGATGACTGGAAGACTGCAGAAACTGCCAAATGTCTATACTTAGTCAATGCAGGACATCTCTATATATGTTATCTTATAATAGTGTATAGGCAAAAGGGATGTGGTACTGGGTCTTTGACTCTATCACATCCCTTGACAAATGAACACCTACACAAAACACATAGATGATGTATTATGGGTACCTAAGGCTAATGGGAATTTTCTAGTTGAGGTTTTAAGCTAAGCTTCACAGAACTCTCCCCCCATGAGCTATAAGGCCTAGTTCTGACTGACATGTTCAGGTCTCCCTTACCTGAAGGGTCAACTGTAAATAGTTCTCCCACTATTTTTTCTTTGTTTCCCTCTTCTTTTTCTTTTTCTCATTTTTGTTTTGTACCACAAAATTGCATTTCATCACCTGAAAACATCTGTCACAGATGCATATAAACAGATACCATTTCTGTCCATGCCGATAACTATTTTGCTTAATGGTACCATAACCATACAATCTGTTACATTAATATTGATGTTGGGAATGCGGCCAATCCGCCGATGCATAGGGATAATACCCAGAACCCTGCTAGAGCAACTGAATGTATGGGAAACAATAAGTTCTGACAACTCAACTACGTTTAAAAAGCTCAGAGAGACAACACCACACAGAGTCAAAACAATCCCAGATCAAGTGCATAACACAGAGAGAGAGAAGTTTGCTCCCAGAGTGTGGCCCAGTGAGTTAGCGAATTTGCCCAAACAAGAATGGTACTGACATTGGTGTCCCTTAAAGCAAAAGGGCTTAACACTAGCCCTTCAAGAAGCCAAAAATGGCATTATGAAATACTGCAGGGCCGGCGCTCAGATAGCGCGGGCCCTGCCTGGGCCGGCCAGGGAGATCCTGTGACCTCCCCCGCCGGTCTCGGCCCATGGCCATCGCGATCCACGGGCATTTGCCGGTGTGCCTGATGGCCAGTCCGGGCCTGATTACATCATGAAAAGGATGAGAAAAATCCAATTGCTTCCTGGGTAATGAATTGGATGGAAATGACATGCTGCTAATCTGTATGAATAGTGGCCACCCAGGGCAGCACTCATTAATTGTTTCCCTTGCGGTTTGAGGCTTGACACTTATATTGCAAGGTATGAAGGCTCTAAACTAACATTCTAAATGAGGTATCAGGGTGGTCCCCGTTCGGGAGGAGAATTAATTCCCTTTGTGGAGGCACTCCCGAACGGGGAGCGGTCACAATATACAAAGAGATGGGGAAACACACATAATATTAGAAAGGCAATTCATGGACAGGCAGCGATCCCGCCACACAGCTCCCACTTAACCACAAACCGGCAAACACAGTCTGATCCCAACGGTTCGGCTTGGGGATGTCAGGGGGAGTGCTCACGGATCACTTCTCTAGGGCTGTCTGTCTGGACAACCCGTTGGCATTTGCGTTTTGCTTACTAGGTCTATAATGAATGGTGAAGTCATAGGGATGTTGGGTCAGGCTCTACCGTAACAGCTGGGCATTATCTCCAGAGACCCGGTTAAGCTATATCAATGGGCTGTGATCCGTGAGTGTGGCGAATTTAACATCTACACTTGTGCCTGGAGAAGACTGATTGCCAGCCTCCTGCCATGTGACTATGGCCCCTGGGATGTATTGCCTGCTCTCCTGCACTGCTGAGGATTGCTACCAACTAGGTGGCTATGGAGCTTGTGTAGTGCACTCTGTTGGTAGCAACAGTAATATGCACTACCTGAATAGCAAGACTGGTCATTTGCATATTCGGGTAGATTTGCATATCGCTAATTCTGCATGCAGGAGAGACATTTTATGTTAATTATGGTCTTCCCCACCCATTTATAAATATGTAATTATGTTATAATAAGTCACTGTATGTTGCCTGCTATGATTTGACTGTTTGTAATTTTATTGAGTTTTCACAGCAATGTTAATGTACTGACCATATGGGCTAGTCCCAAGTAAAATAAAGTTTTAGACAGTTCTACTTCACCCTCAATGTGGAGTGCCTTCTCTTATTGGGGGAATCTGCTACAAGGGATTGCTATGCTATTCATACTCTCTTACTATAATCACTGAGCTCTTGTAAGAGCTGTTGGGTTCCTGCGACACTCTCTGGGGAAAGAGAGGTTCACTCACTGGAAGCTGGATCCTGGCTTTGGGTCCAAGGTGGGTGAAGACAGCGAGACCCCGGCGCACTGCATTGCTGCAAGTGGGGTCTGCAGTGCTGATGGTGTTGATGGTGTAGGGGCATCGATTGGCGGAGGTACTCAGTCAGAGTGCCAGCGGTTCGTTACAATGAGCAAGGTGAATTGCTGTTCATTGAGGTAGGGCTGCAGTTTCTTGAGTGCCCTCACCACCGCCAGGCACTCCGTTTTAATGGCGGCGTAGCTCACCTCCCAGGGCAATAGCTTCCTTCTGAGATAAGTCACGGGATGTTCCCCACCATTGTCCCCGACTTGGTTCAGCACCACTCCTAATCCAAACATGTTGGAATCTGTGTGGACAAGAAAACTTTTTTTGGATTAAAAGCAGCCAGGACAGGGGCTTTACCAAGGCGTCCTAAATAGCTGGGAATGCCTGCTCACACTCTGGGGTCCAGTCTACCTGTCTGGCAAGGTCTTATGGGTCAAGTTGGTGAGGGGCTTAGCTTGTGCGCTGTAATTGGGGACAAACTTCCTATTATAGCCAGAAGTTCCTAGGAAGGCCATCACCTGGATCTTAATGTGGGGACGGGGCCAACTCGCTACTGCCTCAACCTTGGCTGGCTCTGGCTTCTGCTTCCCACACCCTACCCGGTGTCCTAGGTACTGTACCTCCGCCATCCCTTGTTGCACTTGCTGGGCTTTAGGGTTAATTCTGCCTCCTGAATCCTGTCTAGTACAGCTACTGCTGTAACTGTGGCTGGTTCCCTTATTTACCACTATAACATCTTAAAGCATAGAACTTAGCAGGGCTAACCATACAGATATCTTAGCCATAATTTTATATAGTTAGTAAGAGATCCTCTATTTAACATTTAAAAATTATTGAGAATACAATATAAAATAAGGATTGTCTTGGAAGCAATAAAGTTTTGTCTTTTTGAAATGTATTATATAAAAATATAAATAAAGTGCAGGTAGGATAAGCTAGCGCAACTGAGGTAGAAATGAAGTAGAATATTAAATAACTGCAGCAACCTACAGGGAATTCTGATATACACAATCCCACAAATAGAAATAAAAAGATAAAAGTGTAGGTGCGCAAAAACTAGTGTATGGGACAGCCCACAAGGCTGAACTACAGATAATACAATATAAAAAAAAACATGCAGAGTGTCACCCAAATCAATACAAGAATGTGCAATAATGCAAATAAATGCAATAGAATAACACCAGATATACTTTGTGACCATGCAGACAGGTATAGATAAAATGGCTGAACATATACTTGCACAGGCCTTTACAGGCAGTCCAATCTAAAATAAAATAAAGGACACAGACCTAGTGCAATATCAAAAGGGAACAAATAATAAAAATGAGGAAAAATAAAACTCACAATTGTGGAGTGGTTGAAGTACCACTCCAAACTGTCAGGCCCTAGGAGGATCAGTCCCTTGTGGTGGTAGGATCCAACTCAGGGCCGGTGCAAGGATTTTTGCCGCCCTAGGCCAAATAAAGATTTGCCGCCCCTCCACCCCCCGGGACATCGCAGTGCCCCACCCATATAATCTGCCATATGAACTAGTGCCAGTGCTGCACACAGTGTGTGTTTACATTAAAAAGCCTGCAGGGACAAACTATAGACCAGGGCCGCCATCAGGGCATGACAACCGTAACGGTTGTCATGGGCCCGGCGGTCCTGGGGGGCCCGGACGACCTGGCCCCAGATTCAGTGGGTACATACCGGGTCGCAGGGGGCCCTGCGACCCGGTATGTACCCACAGGGCCAGCCTCTTCTCCTGGGGGGCCCAGCACCCGGTCACCTCAGGGGCCCCCCAGAGGCTGGCCCTGAAAACCGGCCGGCGCGCGAGGGAGCACTCTCCTCTGCTGCTTCCTCTTCAGCTCCCTCGTGCCGCGTACTGATGCCGGAGCCGGAAGATGACGTCATCTTCCGGCTCCGGCATCAGTACGGTGCGCGAGGGAGCTGAAGAGGAAGCACACAGAGAGTGCTCCCTCGCGCGCCGGCCCACCCGCCGCCGGGTGTGGGGGGGAATGAAATTAATGGGAGGG